CGACATTCCCAGCCCTAACTTTTCATTTAGTCTGACGATGGACAAGGGCTACCTGTTAAAAAATTCACAAGTACAACTCGATTCTCCGAAGATCTTTTTTTTCATAATATCGTCTCGGAATGCAACTTATTGCACTTATCCATACGTACATATGACCGCAACCCGTTTGTCCCAAAAACGCCTGACAAGAGTTAGCGAAGGAGAAATAACCAAACACCAATAATCTGCGATTACTTTTTACAGGGACATATAAGGCGACCTACCAGGCTCCCGTCGAAATATGGCATTTGTATCTTGGGCATCTGCTCGAAAAGAAAAAATAACATTTCTACTGTTGTGTGCCGTAGACATTTTTTCTTCCAATTTTACGAGACGTGGGAAGCCAACTACGCGAAAACATCCAGACGATCTGAGAAAATTCCGAGAGAGCCCTTACGTTCTATGTTAACCGGTCCCTTAGAGGGTGGAAAGCCCCTCACAAGTTTTCATTCCATTGGAATCCTAACCGGAAATTTAGGTTTACAAAGACAGAGAGCTGACCACGAATACAGTGTTTCGATGAATGAGGAAAGTTAGAAAGCGTCAGGAATGTCCTATAGGCTTATTCATAAAATCCTTGTAGAATGCTAACATATCACATATTTTTCCCAAGTAATTTGAGTAGGCAGTTAATCTTGGACAATTGTAGACTGGTTGGAAACGCTTCACTAGATTAGACCGAAACACTAGTCTTCACTTCCCTTAATTAGTACAGTTTGTTAGTCCACTGACCCTCTGATACAGGTGCTTTCTGCAAATATGGCTTGGGCATGTTATACAGGATTAAACGCGGCCTAATGAAAGGGAAGGAAGTATAAAACAGCACAGGGAACCCGGAACACTAGGAGTTGATTAAAAAATACGTTGCAACTATGGAGACCGCAATTAAGTCGGGTAAACCGGGCGGAAATTGCGGATTCGCCTACGGGAGCATAAATCGGCAACTCCGAGGTCAGACCCAAGCTTTTCGCCTGCAACGCAGATTGAGGAACCTGACCATACCTTCCAATTCTAAGGACCGGCTATTTCGGGCCGGGACAACTCAAAGATGGAAGGACTGAAAACTGAGGCCTACTCCAATAATAGGAAACTTGACCTTCCTGCAGCTTCTAAAGTTTTGAGGCTAACAGAAAAACTTAAGAAACCAGACATTTACAGGTATTCAAAACTTCATATTTTCTACAGACTTTTTGCAAAAATACGGCGCCTATTTGCTAGGTAGTGCGATTTCGGAACGCCTTGAAAAACATTAATGGAGTTATTGCCCACAAAAAGCAACTTGCCACGGCTTGGATGTGCACAATTTTTCATACTTATGTTGGCTGGATTGCACGAAACGTATGCACAACTGGTTTGCTTTCCCATATTAGAACGGCTTTACAACTTTTTTATGACTGACAGGTATATTTTGTGCTTGAAAATAAAAATCATCGGCTTCAAACTGCGTAATCCCGATTTTTAAATTAAGTTAAGACTGCTACACTGGTTCTTAGCGAGGTGGCCTAACGACCGAAGGCAAAATGAGCATCCCTTTTTGTAGATTTCATGAACGTCTGAGAAACCGCATCGCAGATGGTTAGCTTTTTTCCCATATATGTATAATGGCTGAATTTTTTCGCAAACTATATTAAGGAAAGGAGTGGAAGACATAAACTATAGCAATTCCTTATTCCCGAAGTAAAACTCGATCATTATTATTTTCCGTTGTTGATGCTCACAGCGTTTTTGATTGCCTTCATCTGGTGTGAATTAAGGCGGGCTCAATCGAATCATGCAGTGATGTTTACGTGAGTTTTCTTTATGAATATTGCAGTCAAACAGCTAAAGGTTATATATTGTTTATATATCCCATACTTTAGCTAAGATATTTTAAATATTAAAAATGAGTTGATAGGACTAACGGTTGTCAATGAACAAACACCATGGAGATATGTGCACCTTCCGTTAAGTGGCAAACAATTCTTATGTGAATATGATCCCCAAAGACGTGCTTAACCATAATACGGTCATTAGAATAGGTAGGATGATTTTGAAAACAGCGGTCGACAGTATTTTAATTGTTCAACGGCTATTTAAAATTGGAGGAGATACTCGCCAGTTTAAATTTAAGCCTTGTGAAGCCAAAGCTGCATGGAGCAGACAAATTGGTACATTAAAAAGACGTGGCAGAATAATTTTAAATGTTTTATTTCCACTACCAGAACCGATATCCCGAAATTGGTAAGTACTTCAGAGACCAAAGGTCGAGGTGAACAGATAAATTGAGGCAGAAGAAAATTACCGACAAAGACTGCGAAGCAAGGATGCCCATTTCGGGCTTATTAGCTGTCAGTAGGCAGTCATGCACAGCCCTTAGGTACTGCAACACCTGAGGCTCTAATCTGTGACCCATTTGTTAGAAGACCAACGTTCCTGTAATTGAGCCACGAGCTTGTTGTCTTGTCGGTTTCGATCGTGCATATTGAGAATGTTATATTAGCGCTCACCGATTACTTACAGGACTCACGCGCTCTGTTGCGCCTTGAAGCTCAGCATCGAGTCCCGTCAGCAACCGCAATACCGCTACTATCAAAGGTACGATGACAGTATCAACAAAGGGGCAACAGTAGCTTATGTAGCCCCACTCATTAATCCCTACAACCTGC